AATTTAAACATTTACTGAATCGATATCGGAGGAGCAATGTAATTACGTTTTTCTATTCTCCTCCTTGTCGTGGTACTGGTTTTGAATAAAAGAAATTTAATAGGGAATTCTGCTTGACTTGAAGCTCAATATACCACCTTTTGTGTTATTTAATAATTTGTTGATTGAAACAGTTGATCGGTGATAATTTACTTATAACTGGGAGAAGTCTTCGAGTGGAGATTTGATCGGCAGATGTTGAATTTGTTAAGTCACGCATAAAGGTTACTTACACATGCAATCTAATTCATTACAGATGTGCAGTAAACAGCAGAGAAACCAACAATGTTGTACGTATCGCATTTCAATAATGCAAAATAGCCTTATATGAAAGAACACTCAAGTGATGAATAAGGTACAAAATTAAAGTGTTTTAGTCCTGACATTATGCCATGTTCGATATGGGTCATAGGAAAATAAAGTGCCGCAGTTATGACATGTTCGATATTCTTGAAAACTGAACAACACTGTTCACCATTCTTGTGAAAAGAACTGATCTGCATCGTAGAGGGATACCTTCAAATATCAATCTTTCCAGCACAAATTCACAAAATAGTTCGGTTTATAAGCTGCACTTTTCTTCAGAAGATTGGGAAAAAAGTAGACAAATTTTTTGAGTAAAAACTGAAAATTAACTCAAATTTTATCTATTGGCTCTAAAATTGGGGTTCATTTCCAGAAATATTGAAGAATATAAGAAAAAATGCAGACAAATTTGGGGCGAGAAAGTCTGGTGGTGAAAAGGTTAAAGAACTGAGCCTAAGGCCTATAGTTTTGGAGAGGTCAAATAACATCAGATTAGAGTCTGAGACAGAATGCCCTGCATAACAAGTAGCAGACGAACGTGATTAGCTTGCCGTTTTGAAGATGAAATAAAAAAATTGGAAGTTCACTGAATTAACCCTTCCAGGCTCGAACCACGAAATACACAAGCAATTTTCATTAGACGTTCAGAAAAAGCTTTAGGCTGAAATTGTTCAGCGGTCTTTGGCATGAAATGAGCATCTCAGACGCCTACTTAACAGATATCAAATAAAATCAGTTTCATTTTCTTAATAAAACAAAGACTTTTGTCTTTTTTGATAATGTTACATTCTCTCAGACTTTGTACATAACTAGATCTACAAAAATGTAACCGTACAAAAAAGCTTGGTTTCAGCAGAAGCGTTTTCAATTTTTTCAATTACATGCACATATGTAGTGACAATATTTTTGATGTCAATCAAACACACATTATAGTTTACTGATATTAATTTAAATATTAATAAATAAATAATTTTGCAGCAATAAAAAAAAAAACTTACTTGAGGGTGTGTCTGGTCTGATGGAGTCTTCCATTGATATCTGCCGAATCTTGAATGATCCAATCTGTAATGATAACAGAAAAAAAATATTTACCACCATCCATTGAAAAGCTACTGTTGAAATTATTTTTCATAATTTTGATGGCTATTTTGTGTTTGGAGAAAACTGACATAATTCCCTATTGGCAACACATCTTGATAAAATGTGAAAAAAAATAATGAAGCACGTAAATTTTGTGAATAGTGACAAAACTTGACTTTACTCAAAGGGTCTTATTTTTATCTCTAAGTAAATCAATATTTTATCAATTAGAAGCACATCTCCATAGAGACACATACAAAAAAAAAAAATCCCATTTGTTGTATTAGTGGATCATTAAAAAATTACTTTTTCTGAGCATAAAACACCTGTAATTTGCATAATGGTATGTGCCACTAATAGAAAATATACCGAAACACAATTTACCAATTTGAAGCGGGGGAGTCGTCACCTGCGC